CCCCAGTTCCTGTCAATGTGGGCGCTTCTGGAAAGCACCCGGGGGCGGGGCTGCCTTCCAGCCCCAGGGGATCCGGCCTGCTGGTGATCGGGGGCGGGACTGGGAGTCCCGCAGGGGAGAGCGGTGGGGCGGGCTCGGTCGCGCCTGTGTGATGGAGTCTCCACAAACACTGGGGGGCAAGTGCGGGTGAGGGGGCTTCCGGGTGGCGAACGTGTGGGGGTCCCGGGCCTGTCTGCGGCCCCCTCGGAGGGGCACGGACACTTGTGTCCCGTCCCCAGGCCTCAGTCTGCGTCTTCCTCCCCTCCCAACCCCCCCCCCCCCCAAGCCGCAGTTCTCAGTCACTGCCCTTCTGCGTTGGCTTCGGGCGGGCAGCACGGCGGTTAGACAGTCGTGTAAAGTGCTCCCCGGGGTTCCCAGCCCCCACCTGGCCCCGCGCGTGGTTACGACACTGGCACTGGCTGTGTGCATCAGTCTCTCCCACCTGGCTGCTCCTGAGTTGTGTCACTTGACCACAAACTGGTACTCCGGTGAGGGGAATGTCCCTCCGGGCTCTGCGAGCTGCTCTAGCAAAGGAATCGAACCCAAGGCCGGGTCCCTGGCACCGCCGTAGCCAGTGGGTCAGAAGCACAGGCGACACCCTGGACTTGCAGCTGGCCGAAGCGGGGGAGCCGACCCCTGGGTCGGGGGACCTGAGCTGTCTCCAGGCAGACGGTGTCAGACCTGACCTGGACCCTGGGACACCCAGCGGGGCCAGAGAATCGCTCGGTGTGGAAAACCCCGCCCGTCAGCGACGGTGCCAGACTTGGGGCAGGAAGCCGGCTCGAGAGGAGAGCGGCAGCGCGGAAGGGAAATGGGGGCGGGGGGGTGGGGGACGGGACCTGGCGGCGCCATGTCCGCTCAGGACCGAGCATGTGCGGAGTTAGGGGGCCCGGGAGACCTGCGGGAGGTGGGGCCGGGAGGGTACAGGGCCACTCTTGCCCCGGGCACATCACACGTTCTTACTCTGAGGGTCCTGGTTTTGGGGCCGCCCCAAACGCTCTGTCCAGTGTGGGGGCGCCGGCAGCAGCAGCAGCAGTGGGTTTCGCCCCTGTTGCTAATCCCGCCGCCGAAACTCCAGGGAGTCGCGAGTTTCCGGAGCAGAGAAGCGACGCTCCCGTCCCTCTCGGCGCTCTGCCCGTTCCAGGCCACAGGCCCTCGGGGTGCTGGGCCCCCGACCCGCTGCAGGCCCGAGGGTCACATCCCGAGGTCGTCTAGCCAGAGCCCGCTGTGGAAGGAGGGCACCCCTCCCACTGTCACGGCTCCCGCCTCGCTAGATCCTGAGCCCCGCGGGCAGGCACGGGGCCTGGCTCCAGCCTGCACCTGGGAGACGTGCTCGCCCAGGACGGACGGGTGGGCGGCCGGCCGGTGCATGAACGGCCCCTTTTTCCTCTTCCCAGGTGGCTTCTGGCACAGCAGTCTAATTGACCGGAACCTCATCGACTACTTTGTCCCCTTCCTGCCCCTGGAGTACAAACACCTGAAGATGTGCGTCCGCGTGGAAATGCAGTCCCGGGGCTACGACGTCGACGAGGACATCGTGACCCGGGTGGCCGAGGAGATGACCTTTTTCCCCAAAGAGGAGAGAGTTTTCTCCGACAAAGGCTGCAAAACTGTGTTCACCAAGTTGGATTATTACTACGATGACTGACGGCGCAGGAGCCAATGCCGGGACACCCGGGCCTCCCCGGTCCCGCCCCCACCCACGCCCCGGACAGGAGTCCGATGAATTTGTCCTGTTTGACGCAGCGGCGGCGGCGGCAGTTCCTGGGCGTCGAGCCGGTTCCACGGAGCCCGCGGGCTGCCACCCTGCGGACGGCGGCCTCCCGGCAGCCCCAGGGGCCTCCGAGAAGGAAGTGGCCAGTCCCAGCCCACTGGGCTCGGGGCTCGTGACTTTTTTTAAAGATCATGTTTTAATTTCAAGAGTTTCTGTTTCAAGGAAGGATGAAAAAGTTACTGAAAATGTGATAATTTTATTTAAAATGGTTTTTAACATTATGAAAAGCTTTTCGGACTCTGCGTCGTTGGCGTGGTGTGCTTTTTTCGAGTTCCCGTCTTGATCACGTGGGCTGTGATGTCTTTGCTGCAGAAAAAGCCCAAGTTCGTAGCCCGTGACCCGCAGGACGGGGACCGAGGCCGCAGCAGTGACCCGATCTGTCAGCAGGGCAACCATCGCCAGGAGCAGTGACGTAGTTACTTTTAACTTTTTATTGATTTCAGAGAGAGAAAGAGAAACATTGATTCGTTGCACTTCTTGACGCATTCTTCGACTGATTCCTGTATGTGCCCTGAGCAGGGGTCGAACCCACAACCTTGGCGTACGGGGACGATGCTCCGGGCAGCGGAGCTACGGGGCCGGGGTAGGGCGGAGAAGTACTTAGATAAAAGGACGAGGATGTAAGTGGACCCACGCAGAAGGCGCAGCGTCCTCCCCACGGGTTGTCACCTCTGTGCCTCAGAACACTCGGCAGTGTCCCTGACAGCACGCCCACTTGTCAGCTGCCGGTCATGGAGCTTTGCCAGGGAAGGCCCCCTCCTCAGCCCTCCATTCCTGCAGGAGCCACGGGCTACCTGGCAGGTTTCGCCATGTTTTTTTTTTAAAACCTTGCTCATTTATTACTACTTTCTGTGTTTAATTAGAACCCCCAGTACCTTCTCGGAAAGCTCAGCAACCCCCGCTTCGAGGAAGCCGAGCACAGTACCTTTACTGATGCCGATAGCTAGCTATCGGTTTACAATAAAACTAGCTCCTGAATACTTTTTTTTTTTTTTAAGAAGATTTTATTTTCAGAAAGACAGGAAGGGAGGGAGAAAGAGAGGGAGAGAAACACTGATTGGGTGCCTCTAGTACCCCGCAGCTGGGGCCACCCGGCCCACAACCCAGGCACGCGCCCCGACCCGGAATCAAACCGGCAGCCCCTCAGTTCACAGGCCGATGCTCAGTCCACTGAGCCACACCAGCCAGAGCTAATTTCTGAATATTTAAAAAAAAATCCTTACCCAAGGACATGATCAATGATTTCAGAGAGAGAAGGGAGAAAGAAACATTGATACAAGAGGAAAGAAACATCAACTGGTTATACACGCCCCAACCAGGGATTGAACCCACAACCTTCTGGTGTACGAGAAGATGCTTCAGTTAACTTAGCCACGAAGCCGGGAACGAGTACATTTTCAAAGGGGAAGACCCCTCCCCCGTGAGCCTTTCATGCCTCGCTGCAGCAGTCCGGGTTGCAGTGACACAGAGTCTAATGCGGACACTGAGGCTCCCGGGGACATGGCGCGGGGTATGGCGCCTCATGGCTGGCGCTCCCAAGACCAGGCCGTGGAATTCTCGGCCACCAAGCCTGTACGGAGGCTCTTCGGGGCCGCTCGGGCCCCCTAGGGTCTGCTGCAAGTGTGAGGAGGTTCTCGATGTCCAGCCGAGGCTGGCCCGTTTTCCTGTCCCCAGGAGTCCGATTAGGGCTCATCGTTCATTTGGAGATGGCAGCCCCACAGCAGCTGGGGGCCCCCCAGTGGGGGAACACAGCGGTCCCCTGACGAAACTTGGGAAGCTGACCTTGTAGATGAGGGTTACGGGGTGCAGAAGTGGGCTGGGAGCCAGGCCTGGAACGTGCGGCCCCTGGGACTGGAGCACCTTCAGCCGAGGAATGAGGGGGCGGGCACGACCAACTTGCTGGAGAGTCAGCCAGCTGCTCCTGGTGCTGGCAGGAGGGTCGCTGGGGTCTGGGTGGACCTAGGGTTCTATTTCCAGTTCTGGGCTGCAGGACCTGGCAGCGAGGTCTCCTGGTCCAAGCCAGCTGCGCTCGCTCGGGTCCCGGGCGTCAGCCGTCGCATCTCCCCACGTCACAGTCCTTCCTCCATCACCTCAGGAGAAGGTACTACGAGTCCCGCTCTCTCTCTCTCTCTCTCTCTCTGACTAGCCCCCTCCAGGAAAGTACGGCTGGAGCCTAGCCCACGGCAACTCCACTTTAACTCCGGACCCGCGTGGGGGTGACAGCCTGTCCCCCCAAGGTAAACGCGGATCCTGCGGGATGCGGACTGCCAACCAGTGTGTCCGGGGCACGGGAGCCGCACACCTGAGCACACCTGAGCTGCGGGGAGAGGCTTTAGGCCACGCCCAGACCTTTCCGTTCCCAGACACGTCCACTAAGGCGGGGAGTTGCAAGTGACGTCTCGCATGATAAAATGTGGCTTTATTTTGTATTCCCTGGGTCAGTTCAAGCTCCTGTCTACGTCGTGTGGGGTGGGCGGGTGGGTGGGGGGTGCTGGGCCACGGTCAGCTGTGGCCCCTTCAAGTCGCAGACCCGAGACAGCGGTGCAGAGGTGGCCGACGCGGTTTGTTGCGTCACGGTGAACAGAGAACCTTGTCTCCTGACCGGACGTCCAAAGGTTATAAATGTAACTCAGCTCCAATGTGACCATTTGTACTACAGAATGTGAGCCTCATCTCAGCATTTTTATTTTTAATCTTTAAAGATTTTATTTACTTTTAGAGAGAGAAGGGAGGAGGAGAGAGGGAGAGAAACATCGATGTAAGAGAGATAAGTTGATGTCCCTCTCACGCCCCCCACCGGGGACCTGGCCCACAACCCAGGCTTGTGCCCTGACTGGGAATAGAACCAGCGACCCTTTGGTTCGCAGGCCGGTGCTCAGTCCACGGAGACGCACCAGCCAGGGCCCGCCTTGGTGTTCTGAAAGGACTCAGTGCGCGCCTCCCTCCGCACATAAGGCTTCTGTGTCAGGAAAGCACGCACCCGGCCACATCCACATACGAAGGCCGCACGTCCTCACGGTGTCTGTGGTGCCGAGTCACGCTGGCTGGAGTCCAGTCTGACTTCCAGTGACCGGGGCGGTCCAGCCCAGCGCCGCCACAGCGGGTGCCACTGCCAGATGACACCCAGGACCACCCACAGCTTCAGACCCACTCTGTTCTGCAATTGTGACCACACACCACCACACACTTGACAGTACACTTCACCATTTATTTTCAGAATTTCTGATAAAGTAGGCAATTATTCCATGTGTGTCCTTTCCATGTTTTAAAATACAAAAACATCCTGCATTTGTATTCTCTAGGATTCGTACATAAAAACATTATAAAAATAGCACACCCTTGACAACCCCGGCATTCCCAGTGTACAGGACTCCCACTCGTGATACGCTCGCACCGGACGGGGCTCCGTAGCACCCGAGTCCTCACGCAACACAGAAGGCACCTCAGTCACCGCGGGACTGACCGCGACCCCGACCCGGACAGCACAGGGACCGGCCTCGGGCGAAGGCAGCAGGGAGTGTCGAGAGTCGAAGGAGGAGGGTCTCCAGATCTGCACCCCAGGGTCCCCCCAGTCCAGGCAGCCCAAGGGACCCCTGCCAGTACCCAGACTCACTGGGTGGCAGTGCAGGTGCCCCACCAGGGGTGCCGGAAAAGCCGGCATTCATGCTGCCTGCCACTACCATGACCAGTCCGTAGACACAGGTGTGGGGTCTTCGTGGGCGCTTTAATCAGACCCCGGCGATCTGAGATGACAGGCTATGCACCCTCAAAAGTCCTCCTAACAGCTCCCCTCAAACCAACCTATTTATTTTTTTCTATTTTAAAGATTTTATTTTTAGAGAGAGGGTAAGGGAAAAAGAAAGAGAGGGAGAAAGGCTTCGACTGGTTGCCTCTCACACGCCCCCAACTGGGGACAGGGCCCACAACCCAGGCACGTGTCCTGAATGGCAATCGAACCGGAGACCTTCGGGTTCGCCAGCTGGTGCTCAACCCACTGAGCCTCCCCGGTCAGGGCAAGCCGACAGTTTTTAGAAGAAGAAAGGGTAGGCAAGGGGTTTGGAAGAAAGGTGAATTGTAAGAGTTGCAGTGTGGATGCCGTATTCCTAGCGCTTCTTCCCCAGGTACCAATGACCCGATACCATCTCCACCCCCGGCGGCCGCCCCGGGCGGGGCACGAGGGCAGAAGGGCGCCAGGCTGCACGTTCCAGTTCCCGGGGTAACGGCTTCCCACGGGCACCTGGGAAGCCTATCGACGAGGGCGAAAACCTGTAACTCCTGAGTTCCCCGATCGAAAGCGACTCCATAAGGCAGGGCTGGGGCCGGCGCAGCGCCCAGCTGCCGCCCACCCCGGTCGGACGGCAGGTCAGTAGAAACTCAGCCGGGACTGCACGGTCTTGCAGCCCTTGTCCGAGTAGACCTTCTCGTCTTTAGGGAAAAACGTCATCTCCTCGGCCACTCGGGTGACCACGTCCTCGTCGACGGCCGCGCCACGGGCCCGCATCTCCGCGCGGACACACATCTTCACGTGCGTGTACTCCAGGGGCAGGAAGGGCACGAAGTAGTCGATGAGGCTTCTGTCTATCAGCCGGCTGTGCCACAGGCCGCCTGCAGAGCGAGACGCTGTCATGGCCACCCGGCCGGGCTCCCTGCTCTCGCAGGGCCCCTCCTCATCCCAGCCCACGGCACGCCCCTCTCATCTTCACCCCTTGAACTTCTCTCGGTCAGGAACGCAACAAGCCTCACGTAAGGACTGGCTGGCTCCCCCCACTAACCGGCTTCTAGAATATGTCGGGCTCAGCAATGGCCAGACCTATAGAGAGTTTCTATAAAGATTTACTGGGCCAAACAGAGGACACAGCTGGAAGCGAGATCTCAACAGAGTGAGAAAAGTGCTTCCTGGGATGACAGCCGGCAGTCTCCTTCACGCCTCCGGAACCGCGGGGAGGAGGCTCGGAGGGCGCTGGGGCACAGCAGGGGGGGCTGGATCACTGGAGAGCTCAGAGGATCGGCCCCCTGGAGGGGTCTGAAAGAGGAGCCCTCTAGCACTCCCAAGGTGTGTTACCCAGACGCCCAGAAACAAGGGGCAGGGCTTGCTTGAAGGCAAAGATAAGCCTTTTGCTAAAGAAGTCACGTGCCTGGGGTGTGACCGCCCACCTCGACCTGTGCAGTCAGGGATTTCTGGGGAGACCACCCTGCGAGGTTGCTTTTCATAGAAACCCTGAGAAACGTTCTAAGAGAAAGCCCCTGGTTCAGCAAAGCCACGGAGACAGCGAGCGGGTGCCGCGGCTCCGTGGAAGGCCCCGGGCCCCGCCGCCCACCAGACTCACTGTGCTTGTTGTTGAAGACGCCCACGGACAGCACGTGCTCCAGGTCGCGCAGCTGGATGTCCTCCCTCCTCCTCCCGGCCCGCCAGAACTCCAGCGCTGTCTGGGTTATGAGGTCCCCGCCCGCGTTGCTGGTTTCGCCGAGACAAAGATTGAGATCACATTAAGACTTCCGTGCCTAGCCAGGAAACGTCCTTGCCCTAAGGTTTATCCTTAACTAAGGGATATTTACTAAGAGCCACTGGACAAGGGAAAAAAAACAGGGCCTGCCTCCAAGGAGCTGAACACCTGCTGCTTCAGAGCTCGCTGCGCAACCCTGTGTCTCTGCGTAACCCAAGGAAACCACATGCGCAGGGGACGACACTGCCCGTCTTCAGCCGCCGTTCCCTTCACTCCGTCCTGTCCCCTCTCTGTGCCGAGCTGGTGCCCCAAGGTAAAAGAGGTCAGGAAGTCGCTTTTGCCAGGCCGGCCCTCTCGTCCCTGCTGGTCACCGGGACGTCCTTCCGGCCCAGGGAGAAGGGAGGGCAGGTGCATCCCCGGAGAAGCCCCTCCCGCCGACCTGAGGAAGATGAAGAGGGCCTTCCTGTAAGACACGCCTTCCAGCTGCTCGTAGTAGTCGAGGAACGGCTTGATGGCGTCGATGATCCCGGGGTGCAACTTGTCCATCTCGTCGAATATGAACACGGAGCTGGGACAGGCACTCACGTTGCCCCGGATCCACCCCTGTAGCTGGTCCTAGGCCAAGAAAGAGGGCACGCAGGCTCAACGGATGGGCCACGGGCTGCAGAGGCGCTACCCCAGCCCTCCAGCCCTGGAAGGGGGAAATCAGAACTCTCCGGGATCTGACAAAGAACTCTTAGGAACTGCACCCTAACCTCCACTCACCGAGTAGCAGCTTTTCCAAAACATTATCTATCAAAAGTGGAAACCGGCCCAGGCCAGTGTGGCTCAGTTGGCTGAGTGTCAGCCTGCAAACCCACAGGTCACCGGTTTGATTCCCAGTCAGGGCACATGCCTGGGTTGCCAGGCAGGTCACCAGGTGGGGGCCTATGAGAGGCAACTGACTGACGTTTCTCTCCTTCTCTCCCTCACTTCCCCTCTCTCTAAAAATAAATAAATAAACTCTTTTTTTTTAAAAGCAGCATTTCTTCCCAGGCTTTTTTTTTTTGAAACAAAGACACTCAATTAACAAGCGCTCGACCCCCATATGTGCAAGACTCCAGAGGCGCCCTTGCTGCTTCCTATGTTTCTAGAGATTTCTGAAGGAACTTAGAAAGCAAGAAAACGGTCCTCTTGGCAGCCTTTCCCACCCCACTCCTACTTTCACTTCCTTGTTCGGTTCAATGTCCATTTCTTCAGTCCCTGCCCACCAGCGGAATGTCGGCCTTTCCGAGGGTGACATGCATTTCAACGAGAACCGAGCTAGACGACTTGGCATAAATTAAACGACTTGGCGTAAATTAAACGTGGGAAGAATATCTCCAAAGAAGAAATCGGCTTCGGGTTCAGTGCTCTGAGGCTTTCGTCTGAAGGGGGGAGGCGCCGCCAAGGATCTGCAGGACGGGCGAGTGGAGGGAGTCGAGCTACCGGGCAGGGAGCAGACGCTCCGGTCCGCATCGCCGGACGCAGAGGCCCAGTGGGCGCCTCCCAGGAGGCCACGCCCAAGCGAGCTGTGTGTCTGCCTATCGCTGAAGACCACTGCGCTTAGCCAAGGGCTGCGATGGGAATGCCGAACGCGCCCATTCCCTGCGGAAAGCGGCTATCCTGCGACCTGGAAGTGAGGAGACATGGGTTCCAGTCTCCGATTTGCTCCCCGGGTCACAAAGACTGTAAGGAGCACGTCACCTCGCCTCTCTCGCCTCCGTCCTTTAACAGGAGTATCATCTACGTCACTGTGTCACTTTGCAACCGAGCGAGGAAAAAGCTGTGGGAGAGCTGTACAAATGGCCAAGGGTCACCGGGGCAGGTGCCTGAACTCGGCGGGGCCTGGGGCCGCCGCAGCGAGAAAGCAGCAGGGGCAGCGGGTGGGCAGGACGGCAGCACTCCATTACCTGGTACAGTTTTATCTGGTGCTCGTGCGGGAAATGCAGGGTCGACACGAACAGGTGGACAAAGTTACTCTTCAGGCCTTTTGCGTGAAGGTTCTCAGCCACAATTTGGCTCACGAAATTCTTGCCTGTGCCAGCCCAGCCGTGTAAGGAAAGAGTCAGTGGTTTCTTGGGTTCTTTGTTGTTCTTGAAGCTGGTCAGCGCCTTGAGAATCACCTCCGTGGCCAGGTGCTGCCCGAACAGCTTCTCCTCCAACTGCAGCTGGAGGGCTGCAGGAGCCAACCCGAGAACAGAGAGAAACGCACGTTAAACACGCAGCAGACAGGCAGCACTGCGCGCAGCTGGCCGAGGAGATGCGCAGAGTGGCGGGAGGTCCGGCAGGGTCTCTGCCCAACCCCACAGCTGGCAGCGAGGCGGAAGCATGGGTTGTAGAGTCACATGATGCCATGTGCAAGGAAATGCACTAGATGGCTGTCCTTAACACGCAAGTGTCTGGCAAGGGGGCTGATGGGTCCCTGCAGCCACGCACGAGCCCTCTCTTGACTGAGCTGCAAGCTGTCTCCCCAGTCACCCCTGCTGGCTCTGAGAAAGCCTAGGGCCAAACACGGACGCCCAGGGCAAACTCTGCAAATGTGAGAACTATCTAAAAAAGGGTTGACATGGCACTTAAGGGTCGGCCTCGCTGCTTTCGGTTTCTTTTTACTGGAGTTCCATGGCGTCCGTCCAGACACATAGAAAGGAACACGGGCAGAGCCTCGCAATCTGGACAATGTCTTGGAAGTGTGGGTGAAAAAGGGCCACGCCACGAGCTAAATCTGGCTGGCTCGGGGGACGCCTCCATGGTGGGCCTTACACACTCAGAGGCTGAAAGGAAAACTTTCTAACTAGAAGCAGGTCGTCACTGCCAGGCCTGTAGCTTCCTGGATAAAGGTCAAGCGTTATCTCGAGGGAGCCTGAGCCTGCCTATAGCCTCTTTGCATCGAGGCCAAGGGACTGCACCTTTGGGAAGAAAGGCAGGGTAATTTCCTCTCCCCAGACCCCTGGGCACAACCACAGCAGCGGAGTGGACACCACCCGTCCCCTCATTGTTACCATGTTAATTGCTGTTAACTATCCGACGCGCACAAAAGTAAAAGTATGTGCCTAACTCACTCTATCCAATCTCAAAGATTTCCCCTTTGCTTTTTCCCGCCTCTCTAATCTATCACCAATGAATTTCAGGTAACCCCTTCAGTCTTCCCCTTTGATTCTGATGTATAAAATAGATGGTAAAATTGCCATCTTCCGGAACATTTTCCCAATCCCTTGAGAGCTTGCTTCCTGGCCATTGTCAGTTTGGCTCAGATAAACTAATAAAAACTCTTACAGGTCGGGGTGTTTCTTACCTAGACAGAAGGCACGGCTTCCAGGGCTGGAATCCAAACGGAGGCCCCAGCTGCCCTCTCTCCCTCCCCCTACCTCGGGTGAGCCGTGAGCCAGGCGCGGATGCCCACCGGGTTCTGTCCCTTGCGTCCCTTGCGTCCCTCGCGCCCCTCCAGGCGACCCGCCGTACCGGACGCGTTGAGCGGCTTCTCCTCGCCGCAGCACTCGGCGAAGCGACAGTACAGGGCCGGGTGTCGGTAGGCTACGTAGAGGGACGCGACCCCGATGACGACGGCCACGGTGACGGGCTCGAACGCCGCCACCGCCTCGGCCCCCAGCAGCAGCCAAAGCGCCGTGCCGGCCCCGAGCCGCCCGGCCGCCCGCATCTTTCGATCGCAGACAGCCTCTCCTCTGCGCCCTGGGGTCCCGCCGCCGGGGACCGGGCGGGACTTCCGTGTGCGTCACTTCCGCCCTCGGACCCCGCCCACCCTGGCGACGCCATGTTGGAGAGGGGCGCGGCTCTGCGCCGCCATCTTTGTGAGGGGCACAAAGGGTGTCCAGCCCCTCTTAGCCTCCGTCGAGCCCCCGCCTAGCTTTTTCGGTTTTGTTTTCTTATGAGCTTCCCATGGGTCCCACGCCTTGATTTCTCATCCCCACTCCTCCCGGAGCCGTGATGAGCGTTTCTCCTGTCCACCCACCTGCCCGCCTTCCCGAAACGGTCCCTGGGCACTCGGGGTGCCCAGGCCCAGGCTGAGCACCGGGGGATGCACCACCGCGGACGTGCCCTGGCGTGCGCAGGCAGAGCCGGAAGCCTGTTCTTTCATTCAGCTGCACAAAGCAGGCTCCCGTGCTGGGTGCTGGGTGCTGGGGAGACAGCAGTGGGGATTGGGCCCCGCCCTCTGGAGCTTCTGGGCCGTGGGGAAGGCAGCCGATGGGCCGCAAAGCAGGGAAGGCTGTTGTCTAAACCGATCGAGATCACCAGGCACAGAGTGAGGAGTAGCATGTTCTACCCAGAGAACGGAGTATTCGGATGTGCCATTTGGGGCACTGGAAATATTTCACGCGGTGGAGGCTGGTGAGAATGAGGATTGAGAACTAGGCAGCAACTGGAAGAGGAAGGCTTGCAAATGCTGTAAGGACTTTGGCCTCTGTTTTGGAGGGGCGATAGGGAGCCACAGAAAGTTTTACACAGAGAGCCACATGGCTAGATCTGCGGTCACGGTGGCTGCTGGGTTTAGGGAGGAGACCGTTGCTGTGGTCCAGGTAACCTCAGCTCAGATTTTGCTGAAATTGGTTCATCCACCAACATATTTCACAAACACTGGCTATGTCAGATCAGTGCCGTACACTGGGGATACAGCAGGGACCAGGACAGGCAGCCCCTGCCCTCCCAGGCCTCTCAGTCTGCTGAGGGAGACCAGACGGATGGGCAAGCAGACAGTTTGTGGACATGGAGGTCAGCGCTGGGACGTGGGTCACCAGAGGAGACGCCTCTCCCAGTCTGTAGGCTGGGGAAGTCTTTCCCCCTCCATATGTCCGTTCTGCCCGGAAGAGTGAGGAGGAGAGGGTTAGGGTGGTCACACTGGGTGGTCCGGGCAGGGGTAGGACGTGGAGTGGGCTGGTGGTGAGAGCCTGGCACACTGGGCCCCACACGGCTCAGGCGCGGGGGTGTGAAGATGGGGGACGGGACTGGTGGGCAGGGGCCAGTCATCGGGTCTTCTGAGCTGCGCCGAGGAGACAGAGCCTTACCCTGGGGCCACACGGCTTGTTAGCAGTGACTGTCCAAACCACACTGGCGTTAAATTGGGTTTGAGAAGACTCTTGGGTGTGGGGGCGACTGGGTCCAAGGTCAAGACCCTGAAAGCGAGAAGATGGGGGCCTGAACTGCAGCAGAGATGGGGAGGGAGGGGAGGAATCTGAGTCATTCTGCAAGTGCGAACTGAACTGGGGGGCGGGGGGGACGCTGTGGTGGGGAGGGCGGAGCATCCTGGAGCAGGAGCAGGAGCAGGGAGGGGCGATGAGGACTCCATGCCCCCCCACCCCAGTGCTCAAGGCCACCCTTGTGCCTTCCGTGCTACCACTAGGGTCATGAATGCCGTTACTGAGCCTTCCTGAGCCTAGATCTAAACACCATTGAACCCCTCCAGCGCCGGATACAATCTGAAAGACACACACATTTCCTGTAAACACTGGTGGCCTAAACAGTCTCCCCTGACTTGGGAGCCCCACAGGGGTACCGCGAGGGTCGAAAGAGGTGTCTGTCCCAGCGAATGGCGTTGCTGACCTCCCACTGACTGCAGCGGTAAGGGGCCTACATACCCCAGCTCACTGCTGCCCCAGCGTCTTCAGGAAGAAGGGGCTGCTGTGAGTCCCCACTTTACAGATGGGGAAACTGAGGCTCAGAGGAGGGACACCAAATGTCTAGGACCACTCAGCTAGGAAGACAGGGAATGAACCAGGTTCTGTGACTGTCGTGATCCCAGCCTCCCGGTTGGGATGTGCGAGAGGCCGTCGATGTGTCTGTCCTTCTCTTTCTCTGTCCCTTCCCCACTCTCTAAAAATAAGTAAATAAAACCTTTAAAAAAATGTTTTGCAACACATCTGTGTTGTTTTGATCGAGCGTATACTAATACACAGTAATCCAAACGAAATGTTTTAACACTTTGAGCTCACCAAGAGATGCTTTACATTGACTTTTCATCCGCACCGTACGCACGTCTCTGTTGCAGAGAAACGAGACAGGAAGGTCAATGGAAGACTTCTGGGCCAAAAGTGTGCTTTACTGGGATGATATTTGGTGGGGGGATGGAATAGAAATAGGAGTTCAAGTACAAATAGTGATGGCACCAGCCTGGCTTCTCCGTGCGTCTCACGGATGGGTGGCGTCAGGGACAGCCACTGCGGCGTTCCGATGCCATCAAGCGCACCCAGGACAGCCGTGTAGCGATGTGACCGGGAGATGTCCGTGCTTACGGTAGACAGAAAACTGCATCTTTTGCAACCATCTCAACGATGATGAAAAGTTCCACTGTCAATGTAAAAATGTGCAAGGGGCTGGGTGAGCAAAAACACCTGTGAAGACCCCACCCCAAATCAGACCCTGCTTGGTAGGCGTTTACCCATCATGCTTCACGCCCACTCTGTGCCTTTCCCACAAGCAGCTGACGCCCCCCTGCTGCACTGACAGCTGCCAGTGAAGGGTGGTGTGTTGATCGGGAGTTTGTGCCCAGGCCGGACGGCCCCTGCCTCTCCAGTGGCAGTCTCCCTGACTCCACTCGGTTCTAGACCCTTCTCTCTCTGTCCTCCCTATCTCTCAATGTTGTCTGTCACATGGATGACCACAGTCGTCCCCAGGGTCCCCCACATCCACCCGTGTCCCTTCCCATCCATTCTCCCCCAGACAGAGGTTGGGGGGGTCTTTTCACAAGAAACCGCATCTCGTGTTGGTGCTGCTTTGATCCCGCCATGGCCTCCGGAAGCACTGAGGGCAAAGGGCACCCTCCCCACTTGGCCCTCGGTGGTGTGGCCCTGCCTTCCCCTCAGACCTGTCCCCCATCCCACGTGCCCTGAACCCCCTCACTGTCAGGCCCACTGCCCCCTTCTCTCTCCTGTCCAGGACTCTTTGCGCATCCTGTCTCTCTGCCTGGACCCTTGCTGCTGAGTCTCACTTGGCTAAGAGCCCTCAGGCCTCAGCTCAAAGCCTCCCCGCTCTGCCTATCCCCCAGGTACCCCCCCATCACCTCTTCCAGTCCCCCCTGTGCCCTTGTCTACGTCCATCTCTCCTGCCGGCTGAGAGCTTCAGGGGGGCGGGTGCCTGGTGTGTCCTGCTTCTCTAATTCCTACAACTGTGCCATGCACACAGTAGGCTCTCAATACATGTGTTTCATGTTCAAGGATTCAATACTTCCCAGGCACCAAAGGAGGGAAACTGGGCATGAGCTCTGTGGAAACCCTCTGTATCGTCTTCACCAGGAGCCTAACGCTCTTCTAAAATGAAAGGCTTCTCGCGTTAATCAGCCTTCTGGGTGCTGCTGTCCGACCATCAGTGGTACTGTAAGATCATTACTACCCGAGCTCTGCAGCTTCTGCATGGAGACTGGTGGTGAAAGCAGGCAAATTGCACTCGACGGGCAGAGATGCTGAATGCGATGTGTGTGAAGTGGGTAAACGATCTAGTCTACATCATGACAATAAATATTTAAGGTGATAGAACAATCTTTTGCCTATGGAACGTGTCTGCAATAAAAGAAAGACTGTATACTGAAAATTTAAAGTGTATGGAAGTTGCTATAAACATCACACTCAGGAACGTAAGCCAACCACCCGAAGACAAATCCTGTAGGATTCCTCGTACGGGAGGTCCCGGGAGCAGTTGATCTGTACAGACAGAAAGCAGGTGCTGGTTGCCGGGGGGCGGGGAGAAGAGGGGATGGGGAGCTGCTCAGTGGGTGCAGAGTTTCAGTTTTGCACAATGATAAGTTCTGTAGAGTGGCAGTACGACGACGTGAATGTCCTTAACACTACTGAACTGGACACCTAGAAATGGTTTGCATGGGCCCTGGCCAGGTGGCTCAGCTGGTTAGAGCAGTGTTCCAATGCGCCAAGGTTGTGGGTTTGATCCCCAGTCAGGGCACGTACAAGAAGAAACCAATGACCACATAAGTAAGTGGAACAACTGATCAATGTCTCTGTCTCTCTCCCTCTAAAGATCCATTTTAAAAAGTGGTTCAGACAGTAAACTTTGTTATGTGTATTTTGCCACAATGAACATTTAAATTTTTTAAATGTTTTAAGTCCCAATGACCACGAGCCTGTGAGTATTAACATTTTTCTTCTGGGTTGAGTCCTCCTTACAGTTATCACTAATTCACAGTTTGCCCAAATAGCAAGAACGCGTTTTGAAAATATTCAACAAGCAGACAATCGTCTCCCAGCGGGGGCCGTGGTCGAGGGAGGCTTTGCCGACACCCTCCGCTGGGACTCCTTGTCGGGTGTCACAGCTGGGCGTCACAGCCGGGGGCGGAGAGCCGGCCCCTCTGCACAGTGTGGGAAGAGCAGGTCCAGGGAGGAGGTGGCGGCTCTAGGAGGCAGCGTGGGGGAAACCGAGGACCTGGAAAGGGATTCCTTTCTCTGCTCACGCCGTGCCCTCCGGTTGGGAAGTCCGTGGTACCCGGTACGCTTCCTGCTTCCGCGGGGTGAGCCTCCTGTGCTACCTGGGCCCTTTGACGTCCTGTGACAGGGGCCACGTTCGGTCCAGGTACGCAAAATGCAGCCCCCAAAGCTGCCTGACCCTCAGCCCAGCACCCCCCACCCCTGGTCTCCCGAGCTGGGCCCTGAATGCAGAGCTTCCTGTGCGGCCCCTCTGTCCTCGATTCTGCCGGCCTGCCTCGGTCAGATAGCCTTCAGAATCCACAGCTCTCGTGTCCCCCTGAGAGCGC